AACACGGACAGAGAGGCCAATAAGATAGTGATCGGACAGGCCATCGACGCTGTGAACAAATGTACTATGAAGAGACATGGGAGAGGGAGACGGAGCAGCCGTTGTCATTGTTGTCGGTATGAGTGCAAGGTCTAGGCATGACTGACTAGGAACTCTGGTGGGCTGTAGTATGACGTTTTGTAAGCTGTGGTCAGCGCAGAGGCCTTGTACATAGCGGGCGTTTGGGTGAGGTGGGGCAGAGAGCATGTTGACATTGTAATCACCGAGGAGGAGGATGTCCAGACATGTTGCGGAGGCCATCTGCACGCTATTATCGAGGTGCTCCCAGAAATCCACATGGCTGTCGGGAGCGCGGTATACGCAGCCGATGGATAGAAATGGATTCGTTCGGCTATGGGTGTGCAACCCAACGAATATGGTCTCTAGCCTGTCGTTTACTTGAAGTTGCCTGGATCTCAGTTGTTCCTGCACATACATGGCAACGCCGCCACCCTTTCTGCGATCAGCTCGGTCCCGGCGATAGAGAGTGTAGGCTGGTATAGCAAGATCGCAATTCATCACAGTAGAGTCCAAGCATGTTTCACTGATTGCTAGCACATCAATTCTGTACTTGTACATTATGCAATGGATTTCATGAGTTTTATTTCTTAGGCTACAGATGTTGATGTGGGCGATGGTTAAGCTCTTGATGGGTTACGAGTTATGACTAACTGTCCACCAACGTAACCAGATCTTATACAGTCAGCGAGTGCGACAAAATGGCACAAAACTGACAAGGAGTACTGAGACATTCGGCGACCTGACACATTATTATTATTATTATTATTATACATGTACATGCCCCCAAGGTCATGACTCATGGTCGGAGAGTTACTGGTCCGTGTGCACAAAGTGTTCTATTTCTAATCAGTTTGCACGTCCACTATCGATGTACATGTACATGTATTGCCACGTCCACTATCGATGTACATGTACTGCCACGTCCACTATCGATGTACATGTACATGTAGGCTGGTTGACCGTGCTTCCTCTCAAGCAGGAAGGTTATGACATGTCGGCGGTCCAGTTCCGCGATCAGTTGGCCATTCGCTATGGCCAGGAGCCGAACGCTCTCCCGTCGCATTGCGATGGCTGTGGAGCTGCTTTCTCTCTACAGCATGGTCTGGATTGCATGAAGGGTGGGCTCATCAAGCGCGGGCACAACGATGTCCGCGACTTCGATGCCCGGCTGGCAGACGTTGCATGGGGAGGTGTGGCTGTCGAGCCGGTGATGGTACCTGTGCAGGATGGCAACAACCGCCCCACACTGCAGGCGGATTGGCTGGTCCGGGGAGTTTGGGAAGGAGACAGGGTGGCGTACTTTGACAACCGCATCGTGGATGCCGACGCACCCAGCTATGTCCGCTCGAACCTCTCTTGGAACGCCGTATCCAACAGTGCTGCCTCTTCCAAGAAGAGAAAGTACAAGGCGGCCGCAGAGGAGCTGCGAGCATCCTTCACCCCGCTGGTCTGCTCAACTGATGGTGCACTGCACACAGAGTACCGTGCGTATCAACGGCGACTTGCTATGCGCCTTGCCTCCAGGTGGGACAAGTCCTACAGCAACGTCATGTCCTGGGTGCGGATCCACCATCAGTTTGCTGTTTTCCGGGCTGTCGACCTTCGTCTCCGCGGTTCACGTCGTCGTCTCGGTGGGCTGGCAATTTGCGATGGTGTCGGCCTTGGCGTTGGCCGTTAACATTCATGCGTATGGCACTTGTTGTTGTTGTTGTGTGTGTGTGTGTGTGTGTGTGTGTGTGTGTGTGTGTGTGTGTGTGTGTGTGTGTGTGTGTGTGTGTGTGTGTGTGTGTGTGTGTGTGTGTGTGTGTGTGTGTGTGTGTGTGTGTGTGTGTGTGTGCGTGTATGTGTGTGTTTGTTTGCTTTCCTTTTCTTTTCAGCTGTCATTTGCCCTGATCATGCCGCATGCGTGTTTCACAGCATAGTACGTTTCCGCTCATTTTCTTCTTCAACACACGCTAGCTGTATTACTTTGTTCTTGCCCGTACAAGAGGTTTTTCATCTGTTCAAAAAAAAAACAAAAAAAAACATGTACATGTATTGCCACGTCCACTATCGATGTACATGTATTGCCACGTCCACTATCGATGTACATGTATTGTCACGTCCACTATCGATGTACATGTACATGTATTGCCGAAATATCGGTGTTTACTGTATACATGTAGCCTAGAGACAAGCAGCTGAGGCAGTACATGTACCCGGGCTGCATTGAGCTGATCTAGCTGAGGCAGTACATGTACCCGGGCTGCATTGAGCTGATCTAGCTGAGGCAGTACATGTACCCGGGCTGCATTGAGCTGATCTAGCTGAGGCAGTACATGTACCCGGGCTGCATTGAGCTGATCTAGCTGAGACAGTACATGTACCCTGCTGCATTGAGCTGATCTAGCTGAGGCAGTACATGTACCCGGGCTGCATTGAGCTGATCTAGCTGAGGCAGTACATGTACCCGGGCTGCATTGAGCTGATCTAGCTGAGGCAGTACATGTACCCGGGCTGCATTGAGCTGATCTAGCTGAGGCCGTACATGTACCCGGGCTGCATTGAGCTGATCTAGCTGAGGCAGTACATGTACCCGGGCTGCATTGAGCTGAGGCAGTACATGTACCCGGGCTGCATGGAGCTGATCTAGCTGAGGCAGTACATGTACCCGGGCTGCATTGAGCTGATCTAGCTGAGGCAGTACATGTACCCGGGCTGCATTGAGCTGAGGCAGTACATGTACCCGGGCTGCATTGAGCTGATCTAGCTGAGGCAGTACATGACACATGTACCCGGGCTGCATTGAGCTGATCTAGCTGAGGCAGTACATGTACCTGTCCTGGGCTGCATTGAGCTGAGGCAGTACATGTACCGGGCTGCATTGAGCTGATCTAGCTGAGGCAGTACACATGGTACATGTACCCGGGCTGCATTGAGCTGATCTAGCTGAGGCAGTACATGTACCCGGGCTGCATTGAGCTGATCTAGCTGAGGCAGTACATGTACCTGGGCTGCATTGAGCTGAGGCAGTACATGTACCCGGGCTGCATTGAGCTGATCTAGCTGAGGCAGTACATGTACCCGGGCTGCATTGAGCTGATCTAGCTGAGGCAGTACATGTACCCGGGCTGCATTGAGCTGAGGCAGTACATGTACCCGGGCTGCATTGAGCTGATCTAGCTGAGGCAGTACATGTACCGGGCTGCATTGAGCTGATCTAGCTGAGGCAGTACATGTACCCGGGCTGCATTGAGCTGATCTAGCTGAGTGTCGCTCGTGCCGAGCAGGACATCGCCATTACATGCATCCATCACTGCATCAGTTCCATGATCATTGTGATTCAGCGGCAGACTCCGGCTTTCATTGGTTGTGTGCCAGACGAAGCCAAACAACTGCATGACTTGAAGTTCTTGTAGTTGGAGAAGAAAATAGGCCGATTACCCCTGGCCGGTTTTCACCCTTAAAACGCTATGGGCTTCCTGCTGGCAGCAGAAAGTCAACGCGTTTCGCTTTGTGACGTTTGTGATCAAGATAGAAACACACGGTCCAGTCTATGTCTGGCTGCAATCACCACAACGCCCTGATGTCTTATCCAGGTACTGCCGTGTTTCCTCGACTAACGTTAGTCGATAGCCTACATTCTACTTACCGGTATGGTGGTCTATGACTTAGGCTAGCTACTGGCTTTTAAGACGTAACCATGGTAAAATGCCCTGGTCTGCAAAGCAAAAACAACGTGTGGCTATCACATGTAGTGTAAGTGTGTGTGTTGCTGTTGTTGTCTGGTGTCAGTGGTGATCGCTTTTGGTGTGAAACTGGGTAAAGGGAGTAACATCGGAAAGTTACTTGTGTTGTTAATAATTGTTTTGTATTGTATTTTATTATTTTACTTGGGCATTCCCAACAGACCCTAAGGTCTTCTTACAGGGTGCCCTTGTACATCATTCTGTCTAACAGTTACATAGGGATCCCTCATTCTGTGAACAGCTCTGTGTGTGCAGTATACCTAGTTAAAAAGTAAAATGCTTGGAAAAAATTAGTGCCATTGGCATAATGGCCACGAGACATGCCCGTGCTTGCGGCTGTCCACGAACGTGCGTGTGCGCTTGCCGGAGAATTGCCGTGCTTCCGGATATTATGTTGTGACAAGAGAATGGCTTTCCTATCCCATCCTCTGGCCTCTCTGGCTTCTCTCCTCGACGGTGGTCACCTCACATCCTGGCACACTGGCTAGGCGTGCACAATCATGTAGCTTGGTGCCCGCCCGTAGGGACTAGGGAGGGAACTGGTGTCACTGCAACAAAGCACATACTGCTTATACTTAGTAAAGTTATAGTTGCAAGCTTGCCTGCCACCACAGTTTGTAGTCTATTCTCAGTCATAGACGAACTCGCCAGGCCTTTTTTTCATTAGCTCTGACATCGTCAGAGGCTGTAGCCCACATGTAGTGTAAGTCCTCGGCTGATACTGAAGGCTCTGAAAGTTTAAGCGGCGGCCGTGTATGACTCTTTATGAGTAAGGGAACGGGGTCCTGTGCTATCCATATGCTGGCACTGGGCCACCGAGTCAGTGCGGATGCTGCCAACCATACACCAAGCCAGGATGCTTACCGATTCGAAATGAGCTCAGCCCAGTGCTAGTGGCAGAGCATCCATCTCATAAGGTGCCGCTTCCCAAAACGGTCCCTTCGAACCCGGCTGGGATGACCTGGATCTGTCTCGCCAGAGCTGCACGTAGCTTCTCGCTTCAGACCTGAAGACTTTCATCTTTACTTCAGTTCAGAGCAGTCCGACACTGCAGTGCAGTGTGATAGGTGACGATTGGAATAGCAGCGAGACATAGCATGCGAGCGCCATGCATGCACCACCACGCCCTGCATGCCGCGGGTACAAAACACAAAACAAAGCAGAAGGCCTGACGTGTGTAGTTAGCAGTCGGATTTCCCTTGTCTGTGCATTGCTGGTACATGGTGTAGTCAGTTACTTGGACTATGAGTTAGATCGTTTGAAGCTTTGAAGACAGTCGCGTTTGCCTTGTCGTGAAAGCACAACCGCAAATCATACCTTTCCCTTCACTCCAGCATGCGATCGGAAAAGAGACAACGACTGAGATGCAGTCTAGCGCTGATTGGAGTGATTATTTCTGGTTGCTTGGTGAAAGGTGAGAGCTAGGCGAACCTTTTGAAACGTCCTTCTGCCCAGTGTCGATATCGTTATCAAATCCGAATAGAAATCGTCCGTGCTTTGTTTGCTTCAATGTGCGTGCGCTCATTTCTAAAGAGAATAGAAGTCTTGTGTACGCATGCCAGTTAGGCCCGAAGGGGTCAATTACTTTTGAAGAGTCTGACCGTAGTTGAGTCACATTCTGAATTGAGTGGACCGACCCCTGTCACTTTGTGCGTGTCCCAAGTGTACTGCTCTGAAAACAATAAGGTCATCGCACTTTGTACTTTCACTGTTTCAGCTGGTCGGGAGATTGAGTGTTCGTATGGGACGCTGTGTGGTGAAGCGAGGAAATTTCCTCAAAAGCCCAGATGACCCTGGATCGAGAGACAAGCGCATCTCGGTCCGCACTGGTCCGATTCCCGCGTGGAAAGGGGGGGGGGGGGGGATACCCACACAGTGATTTACCTACTTTGCAGTAATCGCTAATCAGCCGCACATTCTTTCTCAGTGAACTGGGAATGTGGTGTCTTTTTGCATTGTGCCGAGAGTGCCATATACAGTACTACAGATTGCTCACTGTCGTGGCATCAGCTACTGTAGCAGTGTAGGCCTAGGCTAGGGCCAGGCTACCTGGCTGTAGGGTCCTAGTGCGTCATGGTGTCATGCCGGACGGGTAGTAGACTACTTAGGCTATAGGGCACGTTCGAATTGTCCTCACCACCTTTTGGAGAAAAAAACTTAGAAGAGATTAGTTGAAGTGTCCCGAACGGTTTCTATCATTTTAGAGTTTTTTCAGTGGAATTGTCATGGCGATAATGACATCCGATCCGACTTCCGCGAGAAATGCGTAGAAAATGACATTTCCGCGGAAATATTCCAAATTCTTCGGAACTACATGTACATGTACCTCTCCCATCGGATGAGGTTATGGAGTTTGGAGGAGACTTTCGTTTTCTGAAGAGACTAATAAGCCACCTCTTCAGAAAAACGAAACTCCTCGAAAAGTCAAAGAGTGACGCCCCCTGCCAGGCTGATAAAATACCTGGTTTTCTTGGAGCATGCAGCAGGCCAGGCCACGCGTTCTTCCAGTTCCATTCACTCACGGCTCGGGCATCATGACTAGTTACTTAGGAAGTTAGGGCGCGTTCGAATTGTCTTCATCAACTGTTCAAACAAATTTTATAAAGAGATTAGTTGAAGTGTCCCATTAGAACGGTTTCTATCATTTTAGAATTAGAGTTTTTTCAGTGGAATTGTCATGGCGATGATGACGTCCGATCAGATTCACCATCTCCACGTACTACGTGACGTAGCTACATGTATTCCAAACTCTTCGAAACTAATCCACCTTCCCATCGGATGAGTTTCGAGGGGTTTCGAGGAGCTTCGTTTTTCTGAAGAGGCCAAAAAGGCCACCTTTTCAGAAAAACGAAACTCCTTGAAAAGTCAGGAGTGACCTTAAAAGGTCTTCGTAAACTGGCAAACCCAGGGCTAGTGTGTGTGTGTGGGGGGGGGGGGGGGGGGGAGACGGCCACATCGCCTACTCCAGCTACAGACTAGTACAGTACAGTTCCTTATTGAGTATCGTAACTACACAAATGAATACACTTGCAGGATTGTACTGTATCTTCTTCCACGTGCTATGGCCGCACAGCGGCGATGCGTCTTAGCAGTTAGGCCAATACTCTACTCAGCTCGAATTCACTTGGAATGTGCAGGATTGGTGGAGTCCCTATTCGTCTTTCTCCGGACCCCCGTGCTGAGTGCCAGTTGTCGATGTGATTCTGAGTGTGTGCAGGCTCGCTGGGTAGCTGTTTCAGCAGGTTCTTTGCTTGCAGTGATGGACAGCAGTGTGTGCCAGCGTCCTATAAGTGCGACGGTCAACCAGATTGTCGAGATAGCAGCGATGAAGCCAATTGCACCTCCATCACACCGGGTAAGCACCATCACTGCATCAGGCATTGTCACTCCACTGCGGCACTGGCATTGCCAGTCTTGCAAAAAAGTGACTGATTAGTGATTGATGTACAATCATCATGACTGTAGATCTACACTGTACATGTCAGGTACTTCCCGGCAGCGTCAGAATAATGATGTAGAACTGAGTGGCAGAATGCTTATTAAAATACACTAATATAAAACTATCCGTCCTGTCTATCGATGTACAGCTGAATGCTATACGAATCTGTTGTAGAACTGAATGCTGTACGTACCTGTCGATGTAGAACCGAATGCTATCTACACGTGTGTAGAGTGTAGTATAACTATAAGTATAACGACCACTTTCAGTTACGAGTTCTGTAGTTATGTGCTCTCACTGTGGTGGTGTGTCTGACACGATGCCGATGATATTGTATGCCAATGTGAGACATGCCGCAGTTTACTGTCTTGACATCAGCCTCAGCTGTGGGCTTGGCACTATCATCGGGTATACTATGAGTAGTATGTATGACCTATGGGTCCTTCACTGATTGATCTCCATTAATTGTCACTGTTATCGACAGCTCGCAAGTAACTAACTTTAGTTTTGTCCGGTGGACGACTTGTACAGCTTCCAGTCTAGCACAGTAGCAGGCCGATCAACGTCAAACAGTGGGGTTTCCGGCACAAGAAAGCATGCAACCTAAAAAGCCGTCTCCATAGACCATGGAGACTACAAGCCGTAGGAAGGTCTCTGCACCGCGAAGAAGCAAATAAATTTTTCTCCAATCTGGAAGAGCTGACAAGAACTGGTGGGTGCTGCTTCCTGAGCTAGCGAGCGCTCACGGGATTCGCGTCAAATAGCAGCAGTGGCCCTATAAAGTAAGTAACTTCGTCTCGGCTGACAGTCAACAGACTTGTGAGCACAGCACTGTGATCGCCTGTGGAGTTTCCGAGTTGATCACATCCAAGTAATTATTATTTGTTAGTTGCTGCGGTCCCAACCTGCGGGGATTCGTCCTCCACTATTAGTCGAGCGGGCGGATCTGGAGCCGAATGGAAGACTTCCGATCGTGTCTCCGGTCCATGCGCGCGCGCAACATGCATGATCGTCCCTTCAGCCTTTCAGGGCCTTCTTTCCGGCCGGCCTGCGACGCTTGAAGTAAGTTAGTTGAGCTCATCGTGCATTGTCATCGCCATCGGAGTCTGCACCCAACTGCAGTTGCCAAAAATACAATGGTAAGTTCTTTTCAAAGAACTTCGGCTATAAAGAACTAATTCTAAAAAACCGAAATGCACTCACACCATACAAGCAACATGTCATGACTGGCAAGAGGACCATGACAGCATGATTGCACTAAGTCTTACACTTAGTTTACATGCGGCCCTACACAATAATGGTTCGTTACAAACGAAAACTGCTCGCTACTTAAAAGGGTCAATGGTGTGTGGGTTCAAAAAACAAAAAACAAAAAAAAACAGGGACATGAAACTGGTTCGCTATATCCGTGACTAAATTCGCTATAATGCTAGTTCGTTATACGTGGAGTTGACGGTAGTAGCTGGGGCAAGATGACGTGTGAATGAAATATTCATTTGTATGCTACCAGCACTGGTGGTAGTGCTGCACGACCGTCCTTGACCGTTGTATCCCTCACTGATGCGTGATGGTGATATAAAAAGTACTTGAAGCCGGTCAGTCACACTAAGATCACTCCATCACAGAATGGTGTAGGTCTACCTGTACTGTACTAGACACTCATATCTCTCTTCTAGTCTTATCCCCAGGCGGTCTGGGGCAGTGGGCACTGGCCATAACTTAGAAATGTCAGCGGCACCTGTGAATTACATACGTTTTCCTGGGGCAGGGCCAGAGGTCTGGCGTGTGGTGTCACACTTTCCACACAAACTAGCAAAAGAGCAGTGATACTAATATTTCCACTAAAACGGCTTACCCACCGGGCGCTCGGTACTTAGCGGTAGACCCAGGTGAGGTGTCCGCATAAGAGGCATCTGAGTGGAGTGATACGTAGCAAAAAGCCAGTTTCCCCAGGGCTCCCTGTTTCTAGACCGTCTACAGCCCTGGGTGAAAATTGCCTTGGTGAATACAGACAAGTACATTGTAGCATCATGTGTTCCGGTGCACAGTTCAGCACTGACCTGGCTGTGCAATGCTTGATTGGACTGTTCCTGTGGTGCATTCAACGTATGTAACGTTGATGCGTAGTCGCGGTCACAAGACCACCCTGACTTCAAGGGTCATAACGCATGCAGGGGCATGTAAGTTACATACTCATTGAGCATTGTGTGTGTGTGTGAAATGCACTGTTGCTTGGATATCCAGTGGCATGGCGGTGCGATGCACTAGACTCTTTTTATTGTGATTTGCAGCATCTGTGCAGGCAGTACCCCATTGGCGTGTGCTGTGGCGGGTAAATTGTGCTGAGTTTGATTTTGCTGGCATACAGGTGGTCTCATCTGGAAGCCCTGTTCCCAAGTGGCCTTAGTTAGTGCAACACCGTGTGTATGTGTATGTGTGTGGGGGGGGGGGGGTCTAAGACTGGGTTTTGCATGAATTGTGCTGTTTCTGTGCATGTATCCATTTGTAGGAGGTGCTGTCAACTGCTCCAGCGGTCAGTTCAAGTGCGGGGGTAACGGCAGTGACATTTGCCTTGCCGCAAGTCTGTGGTGTGACAGAGGACCACAACACTGCCCAAATGGACAGGATCAGAGCATATGCCGTACGTACATAGGCCATGAGTTACCATGTTGAATATGGGAAGGAGGGAGGGAGGGAGGGAGGAAGGAGTGTGTGCGGGAGGGAGGGAAGGTGATCCAGAGATACTTTCGTATACTATGAGTGAAGTGTACGTGGCTGCATTGAAGTCTGTGAAAGTCCAAAAAATCTGCCATGCTTGCATTTCTTTTCTTTTTTAACAGTCAGCGGCTATGCACATTTCACATAGAAGAAAAGAATCCATTCGAGATTAGTTGAAACGCCGACTTGCAACAAGTGGTTTAATGTGTGAAATGCTGTGCACCCAGTGAGCACTTCTCCAGGCGCTGTTGCTACTTTTCTGTGTTGAATTTTAACACCATATGGATGGAGGGGTTAAAATGAATTTCTTCAGTGTGAGTTCATGTGGGGATGGTACATGTAAATGACTACCGTCAGCATACTGCAACAGGCAACCACCACCACCGCTCCCTCGCCCCCCCCCCCCTCGCCCCCCCCCCCCCTCCCCCCCTCCCCCCCCCCCCCCCCAGGCCTAGCTGCGCTCAAGTTGCCCAGTGTTGAACACGATTCTAAGACAGATCAATTTCAAGTCTCATTTCTCAAGCTCCGTGCTTCAGCTTTTGTCTGTGGGCAGACGTCTAGTGTCCGATCTGTACTGCGGGCAAACATCGTTTGTCCATTTGAGCAAACAAAGGAGGTGAATACTTTAGAATATAGCGATATGTTTGCTTACACGTGGTTTGCTTTTCTTTTGCCTTGTAGTTCGCAACACGCTTGTTTGTGAACCGTTCGTTCACAACTACAAATGCAAAACTTCAACTCGCTGCTACCCCCTCTCCGCTGTGTGCGATGGCCGTGAGGACTGCGATGGCGGCGATGATGAAAAGAAGGAGGTCTGCCACCGTAAGTCCCAACACAGCCCGGGGTGGGGGTGGGGGGAGGGTAGAAGCATAGCCAGGAATGCCGACACAGCCCGGGAGGGTAGAGCATAGCCAGGAATGCCAACAACTCGCCCTGCTGTGAATTCCGTCTTTGCCTCATGTAAGAATAATAGCCTTGTGGAAAGGGAAGGCATGCGGATCACTTACCAGCCATGGATTGTGGGTGCACACCAGTGACCTGCATGTAGTAAAATACTTTGAGACAGCACGACAACCATTCCCCTGATTTAGGCTTGCCTTGGAGACGATCGCAAGCCAAAAAACGTGCAGTTGCTGTCCAATGCATCATGGGTAACTTTACTAATATCGCAGTGCTCCATGGCGTTTTCCGACAAAAAGAAAAGTCTGGAACAGTCAAAGTGGTTGTTATTTTTCATGGCAAGCAAGTCGCTTGACTGCCTGTAAGTTTTGTCTCATTGCATTATACTGAAAACCGCAGGCTGCCTACTAGCAGTGGCGTACCCAGGGGGGGGGGGGGGGGGGTGCTTTGGGTGCTGAAGCACCCCCTAATTTCCCCTAAATTTTTTGACATACATGTACATGTACATGTACATGTAGGCCAACTTGATGTACCCATGCCGCTAAAAGTACCATAACTTTGCAACCGATTTTCCGATTCACGCAAATGACGGCCCATTGGAAAGGTCTTGTGTGAGGCTATACATTGAGATGTGATTGAATTTGATATTTAGTAAGCTTCATTGTGGAATGGGGATGTTCATAAATCAGACTTTTGAACGCGATTTTTCGTGGCACAGTTATCAGATTTTTCAAACGGATGTTTTGCTTTCCACTCACTGCATGTTGTCACTAGTTGATCATAGCTCAACGTGTTACATGTACTTTCATGTGGCAGGACCGTGAGAGGGTTATCCATATTGTCAGGGGCCTCGACTTATTCTATTCCGATTTTCCGGGAACACTCCGATCAGTTGTTCCGACAAACCGACTGAAAACGATTGCTCACGAAAGTGTACTAATCTGTGGTTTCGGGCCCTTGAAATCCTAAAAATGCTATGGCTTCTAAAGGGGTAGCTGCCCCCCTTGCCATCCTGACATTGAACACCTCAGACACTGCAGTGCTTCTGATTTCTACCAACAGAAATGTGGCAGCCCTCTGCTAGTATCCTGTTTGTGAAGCTACCACCATCCATTGCACTTGCTTCCTCTATTACCTGATTCTATTTCTCCATACCAGAAGCAAGTGTATAAAAACTCCTGGGAGCTTTTTCTGTGACTCCTGCCAGAAGTTGTTATGGTACTTTTGCCTTCTCGCCCCATTCAATGTGTGAAGTGTTGTAAGTTGTTCTAGTACTTCAAAGTACATTAGTCAAATTGAAAATGGTTTCGTGATAATTATGATCTAGCAAGAGTAGTGTACTCTTGGACCTACATGTAGCTTACCGAGGAAGTACATTTTTGTCCTCCGAATGGAGGGGTATATTCGGGATTGGGTGCTTCAAGGCCTCATGGTTGCTCCATCCTACAGAAAAGTTCCTACATTTTCCCTGGACTTGGTAAATCATGGTAAATGCTTGAATCACGGTTAACTGGCGCACTAAAAGTAAACATCTACATATCAACCATCCATATATCAACCATCCATGTATCAACCATCCATGTATCAACCATCCATGTATCAACCATCCAAGTATCAACCATCCATGTATCAACCATCCATGTATCAAACGCACAGAAATAATGCATTATTCGGTTCTTTGGGGAAATGTTGGAGCACCCCCCCCCCCCCCCCCCCTCCCCCCTCATTCCGGATCCTGCGTACGCCCCTGCCTAGGGTGTGTTCACTTTGACGTACTCTGTATTCGGACAAATGCATGTGTCTTGGAAGATATCCTGTGTTGGAGATTGAAAGTCCAATCTGTTTCATGGGTCTGACTGTATGGGTCAACATACGCTTTACGCCATGTTTCCGAGACCTGTCATCCATTACAGGTGGAATCCTGATAATTCAAACTCTTCTATGTAACTGTGGATTTTGCAAGACTTCTACTTAGGTGACTTGTCCGGTTTGAGGTTCGAATTGAATTATCAGGTATTATTAGGTATTATTAGATTGTTGATAATATGGCGGTAAAGACACAACTTTGCAGCCTAGAGAGCGTGTGTGGGCAGGCGTGTGTTTACCGCCATATTGCCAGGTGTGTCTTTACCGCCATATTTATCAACCATAAGTACAGCTGCAGTGGTGTCTTCAATTTCATTATTAGATTGAGTACTATTATGTGGAAATCACATTGACGGAAACCAGTCCCGGAAGAAAGTTTTATAAAGCGGTATGCCATACTAGGATTCGAATGATCAGGATTCCACCTATTGCGAGTTCCAGTTTTTTTCCTGCCGATATTAGCTCTCCCAAGATTAAGCTCGGTCGTTGTGTTTATTCTACTCCAACTCACCTCGCTTCCAAGTTCTGTACCAGTCCTTGTAATAATCGCGTTAACTACATTGTTAGATTCCGCTGTGCCTTGTGAGCGCTGTGTACGGAGTAGTCGCGGATACGTTAGTGTTACTGTTAGTGTTAGTGTTAGTGTTAGTGTTAGTGTGTCGTTACACAACAGTCATGAACTCTATGATAATGCCATTACCACTGTCTCCGCTGCTTCTGCTACTGCTGATGCTGTTGCTGTTTCTTGTGTAGTGAATCCAGCAAATACTGTTGCACCAACAACAACACCAACAGCCCCAGCACCCACAACAACCTCCGCACCGACAACAACCCCAGCACCAACAACAACCCCAGCACCCACAACAACCCCAGCACCCACAACAACCCCAGCACCCACAACAACCCCAGCACCCACAACAACCCCAGCACCCACAACAACCCCAGCACCAACAACCACAACCCCAGCATCAACAACAACACCAATGCCAACAACAACCCCAGCACCAACAACAACCCCAGCACCAACAACCACAACCCCAGCATCCACCACAACCCCAGCATCAACCACAACCCCAGCATCAACAACAACACCAATGCCAACAACAACCCCACCGCTAACAACATCCTCAGCACCCACAACGACACCAGCACCAACAACCACAACCCCAGCACCAAAAACCACAACCCCAGCATCAACCACAACCCCAGCACCCACAACAACACCAATGCCAACAACCCCACCGCTAACAACATCCTCAGCACCCACAACGACCGCAGCACCCACAACGACCGCAGCACCCACAACGACCGCAGCACCCACAACGACCGCAGCACCCACAACGACCGCAGCACCCACAACGACCGCAGCACCCACAACGACCGCAGCACCCACAACGACCGCAGCACCCACAACGACCGCAGCACCCACAACGACCGCAGCACCCACAACGACCGCAGCACCCACAACGACCGCAGCACCCACAACGACCGCAGCACCCACAACGACCGCAGCACCCACAACGACCGCAGCACCCACAACGACCGCAGCACCCACAACGACCGCAGCACCCACAACGACCGCAGCACCCACAACGACACCAGCAACAACCCCAACAGCAACACCGATGGTGACAACAGCCCCGACGCCATCAATGCCTTCAACTCCGGCGGCACCAACGACAAGACCAATGCTTATAACCACCCCAGCGACGGCGGCATCAACAACACCGCCGGCAGCAAGCACGATCTCCTCTGCAGCATCCACAACAGTTGACCGGAATACGGCCGGAGTGACATCCACAACAGTTGACCGGAATACGGCCGGGGTGGCATCCACAACAGTTGACCGGAATACGGCCGGGGTGGCATCCACAACAGTTGACCGGAATACGGCCAGGGTGGCATCCACAACAGTTGACCGGAATACGGCCGGGGTAGCAGCTACAACAGTTGACCGGAATACGGCCGGGGTAGCAGTCACAACACAGCTTGCACCAAGCCCGGCAGCCGTCCATATCACAAGTGCCGCTGGCTCTGCTTGCTCACACCCCGAGCAGCGGCAATGCTCCAATGGTACCTGTATTAGTCCAGTGTTAGTGTGTGATGGAGTGGCTGATTGCAATGACCATTCTGATGAGACCGGATGCAGTAAGTACAGTCGACTCCACGTATAACGAACTCGCATACAGCAAATTTCGCGATAGAGCGAACCATTGCCCATGTCCCTGCTTGAACCCATACAAAATTGACCCTTTATAGCGAACAGTTTTCGTTTATAACGAACCAAATCCTGTGGGGCTGCATGTACATGTACAGCAAGTGCAGTACAGCACCCATACACTGTCATGGGCCACATATCAGTCAATCCCACTCATGATTTGCGGCTTGTGTAGTGTCAGTGCATTTCTGTTATAACGAACTTCAGCTATAAAGAACTATTTCTCCTGCACAATGGTGTTCGTTATATCAGGAGTCGACTGTAGTATGCTAGTACATGTACACTGGATTAGTAAACAACATCTCAAGAAGTCAACTTGATTAGTACACCTACATGGGTCGTCCTCAAATTCCGAAAAAATAAAAAATAAAAATAAACGGATGGTGGCTGATGCTGGGTGGTGACCACTTGAATAAAACGACCCTCCCAAACTATGTCCTCTGTTCCATGACTAAACTTGACCCAGTGCAGTAGAGATGAGTACATGTGTATAGCAAAGATGTTGAACGGCTTGTGTGTCTAACGTGATGAAAGCCAAGTTTCACTCTGCCATGCACACAACGTTTACAACTCTCTGGGAGTTAGGCACCGAAAAATCGTTATTTTTAGAAGATGATTTTTTTTAATACCCGCACAGCAATAAACATTTTCCAACGAATAACGTTATAATGCACCATGTGCATTTTTACCCCCCCCCCCCCCCCTTGGCGGATTCTTGGAAAATTATTTTGAATATCGCCGACGGCCCCTACCAATCATGTCTCCGGGGTTTCTTTTCTTCCTTTTCCTAGTGGACACATCCAGGTGGCATGGGTGGGGAGGGAGCGTCCTGTTTAGACCTCTGGATTTCCTTGTGATGCAATGCCATGCACATGTGTGTGTACTGAAAACACCACAGTTGTGCAGCGTAATATCCAGCACTTGTCCTAGAAGGGTGCAGCCCACGTGTAGCCTGCTAGAGCATGTGTTTTGTACAGGCAGTCAGTGATTTGTAGAGGTGTTATTTACAACCAGATTTACCGATGATGATTTTCTATTACGCGTCAAGTCTGGCTGTTTGATTCACGACTGCTACTTTCTTGCCTGACCCATTGCGGCTTGTGCTCTGTGTCACGGTGTGTGGGGGAAGGGCACCCTTGGGTGTGTGCATGCATTTACGTGTGTGTGTGTGTGCGTGTGTTTGTGCGTGCTTGCGTGGTGTTGATACTACCTAGACTACTCGTCTGAATGTCCACATCATCAGACGTTATGCCCTATCGTTGGCAAGAAATGCATCAATGTCACCTTGCTATGCAATGGTGTAGCAGAGTGTCGCAATGCCACCGACGAACTCAGCTGCAGTGAGTAACTCCATACGTTTTATACTCCGCTGCAGCGAGTAACAATATTGTACGTATTAAACTCCGCTGCAGTGAGTAACTACATACATGTATGTACAGTGCACCTATCAAGGTGACCACTCTGATAGAGCGACCACCTGTCCAAGAACCGGCGATGCAGGCAGGCATGGTGGGTGGTCTAACGTCATGATTGAGACTCTACAGGGTTGATCCACCAGGTTCAAGTCCTGCTTGGAAGCGGAAGGGGTTTTGCAGCCATGCTGCGACACCTCCCATCGCTTGGAGCTGCGTCTGCACCTTGATCCTAGAGGGTGGTGGCATTCCTGCGGATGCGGAAAACTCGGTCTAACTGAGTCTGACGCGAACCGTGATTTTTTTGTAGTGGAGGACCGCTTCAACCAGGACCACTGGATGTTATGCCAGTCAAATGACCCTGGCTGGATCAGGTGACCAGCTGTACACGGTGGCCACATTTGGAAGGTTCCTTGAACGGTCGTCGGCTTAGACAGGTTTCAATGTACTCGTAGTATGTATGCTGAAGTGATCCATCACAGGTTAACATGTGCTAGGATAGTCTGCTGTCACCATCACAATGATATCTCTACTGCTACCGATTACCATGGCAACGTATTGTAGCAGCATGCACTCTGTGTGCAATGTAGTACTGTACCAAGTTTCAACATTCTTTGGGGACAGGCCATAAAACTCTGGGGGGGGGGGGGGTTCTTGAGCGACTTCTTGTTGATGCATCTATAAATTTTCCTCGTGCCCCCCCCCCCCCCCTGCCTAACAAATATATGCGTGTTATTACTGGAGCTCGCTCTATTCCGCCGACTTTACTTGACACTTGACTGACTCACGACTGCCATCCAGAGCACACGAGAAGTCCATCGAACCTTCGACTCGGCAAACCTGCAAGAAAGCACCACTCCCTGCTCAATACACAGTGTTTCGGGGAATTCACCCCTCATCAGTTGAGCTTGCGTAGGCTGAGGAAGATTGTGCCTGAAGAGCACCACTTATATAGTGCTCTCCAGGCACAAACATCACCAGGGATACAAACTTACAGAGACGCTCCGTTTCCAGCGCGACAAACACCTCGTGAACACCAGATAGCAGCGTGAGTCAGTGTCGCTCCTGGACGGTGAGAACAGACGTCGAGGACCCTCGGTCATTCGCAACGCTGTCACCTCCAAACCAACTAGTCGCAAGCCCGCGCTGGGCACAACAGGGGAGCAAACCCTTTCTTACTAATCATCGCCGAAGTCGCAACCACTACTTATTATTATTATTATGCTTGTTCGCGTTGACATCACCAAGCAAGCTTGGCTAGCCTTCGCATAAGCCAAATGAACAAAAGAAAAGAGGAACGAGCGGAGCCAATGAGGAGCACACATGCATTCAACTACAGAATAGGCAAAAAAGAATAAATAAGGACCATCCTAAAAACATACGAAATGTCATGCGTGTGCTTTTATTTATTTATTTAGACGACATCTGGCACGTCACGAGACTGCCAATTAGGCGGAATGGAATATCATTTGTTTCAGTCTTTTGTGCAGTGATACTTTTCTACTCTGATGAAGCAGACAGCACTTGACCACCCGCCCGTCCCAAAAAATAAATCACCCCACATTAGAGGGCCGCTTTAGCATTTCTTATTTATCTGTGTGCCTGCATGCATGCCCGTGTGTGTGTGTGTGTGTGTGTGTGCGTGCGTGTGTGTGTGTGTGTACATGCGTATGCATGTACATGTTTGTGTGCGCTCACATTATTATACAAGTATGTGTGCGTACTTGCGCGCGATCGTTTAGTGTGTGTGTGACGTATGTGTGTGTGTGTGTGTGTGTGTGTGTGTGCACGTGTGTGTGTGTGTATGCGTGTGTGTGTGTGTGTGTGTGTGTGTGTGTGTGTGTGTGTGTGTGTGTGTGTGATCTGTCTGTGTGTGTGTGTGTGTGTATTGCTCCTGTAACATGTGGGGCAACAGGCTTTACCAAGCATCCGTTCGAGCAGGCCAAATCCAAGGGTAAGTTGGCGGCGATTACACGCACCCTATATTCCAGTGTGGTTTCAGAACATTGTCATTGTATTACCACGGCTTCATCTCACAAATATGCATTACCCCACCAATGACCTCTTTCTGGCTATAGCTGCTGTCTTGTCTTCTTCCTCAACCATGGCAGCTAACTATCAGCTTGCCATCTTCCTGGCTATGGCTGCTGGCATTTTACGAGTCTCTGTGGGGCACTGAACGATTTTGAAGCTGTGTGGCATGTAGATCTACTCATACCATGGCGCACAGCTACCCTACTGACACAACGGTATACGGTATGCCTTTTGCTGTGTGCACAGACTCCGTGGCCATTGGTGTGGGAGTGGTAGTCGGCGCCAGCCTACTCATTGCCTGTGCGTTCGCACTGGCGTACAGGATGAAGCGCAAGAGGTGAGTGCAACCAGCATAGCACGGATAGCAGCGGGCGTACGGATCAGCAAATTACTTGCAACAACAGTCGTGTCTGCTTTTGCCAACTACATTACCACTACTATCCTACCCAATCTCTGGATAGCTACAAGCTGTTCCAACCTTGTTAGGTCTCTTCAGCTGAGCTCAGAGTCACTCGCCGAACTGATCACCATGAAGACCAGTGAATAACAAAGCATTTTTAGACCGGTTCACAGCAGCAAAGTCACGGTCAACTACTAGTATCCTAATTGCACTTGGATGCTATTTGTAGTACAGCACATGTAACGGTTAGAGCATAGATCTTTAGAGCCCTTCGGCACAGACACCACCCAGAAGGATCCCAACTATGCAGGATAATCGATCGTTTTGATAGTCAATGTCTGGATAGTCAATGTCTGGATAGTCAATGTCTGGATAGTCAATGTCTGGATAGTCGATGCTCTACTGAACCTGCTAAGTTAACTCATACATGTACGTACTGTCCAAACTTTCAGCAATTAAAAAAACAAACCTCATCGCATGAATGCTTCGTGTGGAAGACTCGAAAGAATGCTCCCTGTCGTCTGTCATAATTTGGAGTGAAGAGGATGCAGGTGTGTGGAAGGGCTCCAATGATTTCTATAAAGGCAATAACTAGTATTAGTAAACCTCGGACGTATGGCTCCGTTGATTGCTGCATCTGTTTGCACTGGCTCTTGCTTCTGCGTGTGCTCCATGTACATGTGTTCGTGTGTGTGTGTGTGTCTGTGTATATGTGTGTATGTATGTATGTGTGTGTGTATGTGTATGTATGTATGTATGTGTGTATGTATGTATGTATGTATGTATGTATGTATGTCTGTGTATGTGTGTGTTATGTATGGACATGTATGTGTGTATGCGTTCGTACGTGCAGAGCAGCATGGAAGCGCCAACACAATACCGTGAAAGGCTTCTACCGCAACGACAGTGAAGTTAGTATCAGGCGTCATGATTGCTACTACAAGTACATGTATCACACTGCACAATGTATCACACTGCACAATGTACCACACTGCACAATGTATCACACTACACAATGTATCACACTACACAATGTATCACACTGCACAATGTATCACACTGCACAATGTATCACACTACACAATGTATCACACTGCACAATGTATCACACTGCACAATGTATCACACTGCACAATGTATCACACTGCACAATGTATCACACTACACAATGTATCACACTGCACAATGTATCACACTGCACAATGTACCTGTTACCAAAAGTACAATTTATCAAGAGCTTGCAACTCCTTTCTTGAGCCGTGATGGGCCATCCACTGCAGAATTATTCACGCATCATTTTGGGTTAGAAGTGTGATCAAGGGCGTATGCTTTTCTGTACCAGTCTAGTAGATACAGTGTCAGTTCATCAGGTTCAGAGTGCATAGACGTGATACCGTCCGCTCTTCTGCTTGACTGACGTAGCAGCAAAGTGCAAGTCCGTTATACTTTGAGCTCTGGCTACGCATGTTTGGGATCAGCGAGTCAAATGGCCTCGAAAGACTGATGCCACAAACACATCCGCCATGGCCTAGGGCATCATAGGGTTGCAAGCTCTTGGTTTAATATGTACTCTTGCTATTACCAAGAGTACATAGCCCCAAGGGTGTGCAACTGCCTGCACAACCTCTATCCTGTGCTGCGACGGCAGAACCCCACATCACGTGACATGGCTTATTAGGCCACGAGGGCAAATTGTGCAAGGTGACCACAAGAGAGTTGAACCCGGAGCAGGATTGCGTACAACCCCGTATCTATCATGCACAAGGTGCAAATGATGTGTGCAAGTTCGTCACGTGATGTAAAGTTCTGCCGTCGCAGACCCCATAGTTGGAGTTGAACACTCATGGGGGCTATGTACTCTTGCTATTACCCATGTCTGGAGACTCACAACACAACAAATTACAATGCATGACAAACTGCCGAGCTCTCGATGCTTGTGGCCAAGCTAGTCAGCCCTACAGTTGGAGTGAATGAGTGAATCTAGTATTAGGCACAGCGTTCGGAAAATAGTGTCGTTTACAATAGAGGCCGGAGGCTTCATTTAATCTGATGTGGAGAGGGAGGGGTAGAAAGGGAATGGTTTCAAAGCCTAGCGCTGCTTCCTAAGTGCACTGGCTCTAAGCCAAGGAGGTGTGTGGTGTGCTTTCCTGACTTGTGCTTCAACAAACAGATGAGTGAGCTTACGACTAACTCGCAAGTGCCAGGCACTGGTGTGGCGGTAGCGAATCCTGCAGAACCGGTAAGACGTCCTTGTGTACTAGAACATGAACATAGAACATGAGCGCTCATGACTGATCAGTGCACAGCTAGCTACCACAGGAAACTACAGTGCACAGTGCAGTCTTTGTGGAGCGATTTTTTTTTTACTGAATACCACAGTACCATCAGATGCTGCACAGCGGGGGCGGTGGCATATTATTGGATGGAAGTGGGGGCGGGGCAAATGTAACTCCTCCGACCAAAGGTCTCGGAATCATCGTTACTCCTGTGCGCCGATACATAGGAGAAAAGAAACATGTGCATCCAAGAGGGGAGCACCGGCTTTGATAAGCTGTATATTGCCATTGTATTATGGTACGCACGAGGCGAAACCAGTAGCGGGCATGGGTACTTCATTGGCAACATACACTTCGCTTAGTGCTCTCAAAGAGTGCACACACAACCTTGTTTTTAGGACAGAGCCTATTAATGTTATTGTTCCCAGACACAAGACAATGCTGGGTCAATCCAGCTGTGTCGTCCCAGGTTGAAAACCCACCATCGGCTGTTCCTCGATTGCGCCCGATGTTACTCATACTGCGAAGTACATTTTGCAGTTTCCTGCCATGCAAGAGAGTTTGGACGTGCGCCTACGGTGAGGTCACATGTAACAGCCCAAGTGTGTGCAATTGACTCTGTGTGTGGGTTTCCATGGGGGACGGCGGCGGTCAGAACTCACATCAAGTGGTGTGGTGTTCACGACCAGACACACATTATACACATTCACAGGCTGGCCTTCCTTGTACGTGGTAAGAAATCTACTCCGATCGAAGGGTTAGGCATAACACACACACTGTATGCACGTATCTGTGCAGAGTAAGAGTGCAGTGATACCAGTCTAAGCAGATCACTGCTCCAGGGAGCACTATTGTCATCACTGTGTATGTGTGGTTACCTTACTGGCTCTGACATATCCGCTTTGCCTCTGTCTGACTGTCCCTGTCTGTATGTGTGGCTGTCTGACTGACTGTGACCATCTCTCTCTGTCTGTCTGTGACTCTCTCTCTCTCTCTCTCTCTCTCTCTCTCTCTCTCTCTCTCTCTCTCTCTCTCTCTCTCTCTCTCTCTCTCTCTCTCTCTCTCTCTCTCTCTCTCTCTCTCTCTCTCTCTCTGTGTGTGTGTGTGTGTGTGTGTGTGTGTGTGTGTGTGTGTGTGTGTGTGTGTGTGTGTGTGTGTGTCTCTCTCTCTCTCTGTCTGTCTGTCTGTCTGTCTCTGTCTGTGTGTCTCTCTGTCTGTCTGTCTGTCTGTCTGTCTGTCTCTCTCTGCTTGCCCGTCTGTTTACTCTCTCTGTTTCCCTCCCTGCCTGCCCCCCCCCCTCCCTCTCTCTGTCTGTTTTTTGTCTCTCTCTGCCTGTATGTCTGTCCGTCTGTCTGTGTCTCCCTCAGGGTAATGCTAGTGGCATGCGCTCAAGTGAAGTTTGTGATAATCAAATCAATCTGCAGGAGAGTTGTTCAATTGCATTCTGAAATGCATGAACATCACGTGGCAACAGTACCAGGGATGGCGCAACAGAAAGAACTGTCTTTAATCTGTATTACAATCATGTAAATATGAACTATTCTTACACAAGAGAGAGATTGGATATGAACTGTGATGTTGCGACTTGGGTGGTAAAAGTGAAGAAGGAAGTTCGGAGCAGCCACCTTATTTACATATGAATTGAACTCCCAATGATGAACTCTCCATATATTTTTAACGTATTTTTCAGCAACTGAACCAGTATGAATAAACTGTACAAGTGGCAGACATTTGTACCAAATACAAAATTATTGTTTCCTACTGTTGTGGATATTCAAGAAAGGACGAAAATAAATATTCTCTGTTGCACATCGCTTCCACTGATGAAAAACCTCGTCAATAAATTTAATGCCGATTGATTCACAGCTCCCAGTCTCATGTCAAGACACACACCCAGTGGAACATCTGCTTCTCTCGAAACCCTTTTCTCAGCTTGCATGTTGTGCATGGCTCACACTGTTTCCCCTCGCCTGGGCGCAGCTGCGGACGGTTTCTGCATACACTGTAGTTACTTCAGTACATGATTGTACTATCTATGAAATGCTCATACAGTGTACAGGCAACTGACATGTTGTCATCCTAAGGCAATACACAAGTGTACTTCAGTCAGACTGTCGCGCTCTCAACACTGCATTCTAATCGACACGAGATGACACTACCGTACTACTAGTAATCGGTGCCCACAGGATAACACGATGCAGCGGACGCAACGCGTTTTCGAGAATTTTGCATAGATGCGTAATCCATGGGAATGTACAAGAAAATAGTAATGATGGTAAGGATGTACTGGAACGTTGCATGTACGTATACATGTGCCCACGAGTGTGTACGACAAAGTTGTATAGATGCATGAGAATGTACGACATTAAAAGTAATACCAATGACAGATAACCCTGGCACGATGTCCCCAGTATACCTTGTAATCCCACACAATTGCCGCATAATGCCCCTGGTTTTGCCCGCTAAATTTTGCGCATCTATCCAGAAAATTGTCCGCATTATTTTGCAGGGATAGCATTACCACTGTACAAGAGAAATATTACAAAACTGGTGTACCCCTGTGTTTTGAATCCTCAAGTCCGGGAGATGAGAACTTCTTCCGAGTTCATGCATAAAGGAACAAAAGGGGAAAGAACGATTTTAGCACTCCCAGCTTCAACGCTCTTGGTCCTGGCGGCCTCTGTGCTGTTTTAGACTAATTTCAGGGCATTGCTCGCTAGCGCGCTGTCCGACACAATACTTCCAACACGTGTGCTGCTCGGTGAAATCTGGACCAACCTGCACTGTCACACTGTACACGTATTTGGCACCCTGAACTTGCACGGCCCTTGACACACTGAAAGCAGTATGGATGCCGCTGGACGTACTCAGCTCAGGGCGCCAGTTTCGTACTTTGGGTTGGATCTCACCTAGCACAACTGCACTACGATTCTCGTCCAGTACTAGCAGTATAACACATACCAGGACATGTACTGTCGTGGACACGGAAATCCGGCCGATGGTCTAGCGGCCCAGGGCGCTGGCCATGCAGCCGTGAGTACGGATACGATCAACACGTGCACTGCATGCACCGTTCTGTACGCACTGAGGGCGCCGGGCCTGCATCATTCGACCGGACTTCCATGTCCACGACAGTAGTTGATCACTCCACAGAACACAGCAACGCATGCTCCAGCTCAACGCTCAATAGCAAACTGTTGTAAACATCTAAGCTTGTTTAATAGCCTGTCCAGCAAATGGGACCATTAAAAGCATCAAAGATATGTTCAAGACTACGCTAAATGTGCAAGAGGGGGTGGGGTGGCATGCATATCAAGCCAGGCAGCAGCACCTGACCCGCAAAGCCAGCTGTGCACTGCTGTACTACTACTACTGCTGCTAATTAAAGTTATTGAACTAGGAGCCAAGATCAGAGGAAAAGACAAAATGCTATCATACAAATACACTTCGCAGGTGCGGAAATTTGACAAAAACCTTCCAACTTGAGCAGAAAAAGGACTCGCTTGCTCACAGACTCACACAGTGTTTCCTAATGAAAAGTACTAAAAAACAGTAAGTAAAAAGAGGGAGTAACGAATATAGCATGCCGTCAGCATGATCACAACGCACAAAGAGAGGTACAAAGAAGAACGAGGAAGACAAACACACACATGGTACAGTACAGTACAGTACAGTACAGTACAGTACAGTAGAGTAGAGCACACACCACAGCACACATAGGACATGGCGACACGCACAGCAGTACAAAACACATGATGTGTGCACGCCAGTGCATCCGTGCATTGGCGAGCACACACACACACCCACACACACCCACACACACACACACACACACATGCGCGCACGCACACACGCACGCACACCCACACACGCACGCACACACCTAGCCAGAAGACCACTGACACCGCCGGGGCCATGGTAACAGGATGTAAAGTCAAACTACTCAAAATTCGGCAGCACTGAGAGGCTCTCAGATAGGGCGTAGCCACGGCAACGATGACAAGAGATGTAACATAGGTATAGCCAGCAGACAGCCCGGGAGCTTCGCCATCCGTACAACTGTGTGCTGCTGTTGCTACTTGCTCCAGTTCCAGCGGGGTGATCACCGCCAGCATACAAATGGTGATGTAGATCTTCACTGGCAACAGCACAGGGCATCAGCAGGAGTCGACCATGACTGAAGGAGAGACAGGACGGCGACAGCAAGAAGGCATGAAGAAAAGCATCACTGCCACGGCTGCCGCTGCTGCTGGACTGTACAAAGTGACAAAGTCTCAACGCAGGGCCCGACCCGGGCTCATGCAGGTTCAGGAATTAGCGGTAAATTGAAAAGCAGCCACCCCTTCAAGGGGGCCTATTATTCCACAACAATGCTGCACCTTCCTTCCCTCAAGCCTCTGCACAATGAAAAGTGAAAAAAAAGTAAAGGGAAGCGCTACATGAGCACTTGAAGCTACGGCAAATACGAGGTAAAGCCAGGTACAGAGTGCTATGCATAGGAATACACGGAATGCATGTGGGGAGGGAGAAGGCAAGGTACTGCTGCGACTACTAGCATGCAAGGATATGACAAGCTTTCGGCAAATCACATCAACGCTCACAGAAACAGCTAGGGATATCAGCAGCAGCCCAGGTCAAGCGAGGTGATATGTCTGAGGATGAATCGAGTGAAATATCACCGGAGTAAAACAGTAAACTGGCTTCAGTGTATCTCTCTCTGCCTCTCGTTCGTGAGAGTCAGTTCGGTCATGGACAATACTGACTGTGCAAAGTACTTCATGAAGCACAGAAAAGAACGTTTTTGGCTGTTAGAGGCTTTGAACAAACTCAACAAGTGTACTGACTACTGAACAGCACACCAGGCGCTCCTTGCTTTGCTGTGACGACGAAGATACACGTGAAGGGCAAGTCAAGTATGGCGTCACGCTGTACTTCGTGGCACATTTGGACAGCTTTGCTTGGAGTTTCGACCGACTTGCAGTCTCCTCAGAAGAAAAGCGAAGTTTACCACTGCGATCGCCAGCCTCCAAACTACAAAAAGCAATAATAGTTTCGTGACACCTCCCCAGGCAGACCATGCTGGTATACCACTAGCCTTCTCCAGCAAAGCAGCCATGACATGCGCCATCAGCAGCTGCAAAGCTTTGTACTGCATGCACGCGTGGCATAATTCTCCCACAGCAGGCTCAACTAGCTCCTTCTATTCGGTACGCACAGATCGCCCAGGACAGCTGCAGCACGTCCAATTCCACACTGCCTTTAACCAAAGGCTCTGAAACCTTTTTTAACTGGAAGATACCGTTGGAGTGCACACTGCCTCGCGCTACTCGTGTATGAGGTATGTGCAGCGCTGTGCAAGGCTATGGGTCAGTCAGTGGCTGCCTGGGTGAAATCTGCACCCACGCAGCACAGCCAACACTAGGTGTACCGGGCTCTGTCAACTTGAAAACAAAGCTAAATTCACGAGCGAGTCCGCAGCTGAACTCACTGAGCCACGCTGCACAGAGCCTGCAAAGTCACTGAGCCACACTGCACAAGCAGTGTAGAAACCTCATAAGTACTGGGACTCACACAGATCTCATGGGCAAACATTTCATCTGCTGGGCCTACACACAGCTACTCCGATGCACAAACATCTATGCATGTAGAAGGATACTACTAGAACCCCCCTCCGCACACACGCACATGTCAATGGACAAACAACAGCAGCAGCATCCACAACACATACAACAACACAAAGGCCTGGCGCATAAAGCAGACAAGACAGATAGGAACATGAACTTTCAAACTCACCTCCCACATCTTCGCTGTCATGCCAGGAGAGCTTAGATTCATAAAATCTAATAACATCCTGCGGAGCTCTGACATTGGCTATCTTCGCCGGTACAAGGTCAGGTTCTTTGCGGCCTTCCCTGTATAATAACAGCGGCAATAGTAGAACGGTGACAGAGTCTGAGTACTCTAATTCAGAAATTCTAGGTGCTCAATATTTTAGGTATGAGGGCAAAAGGCCAGGTTAGGTGAACAGAAATTTTAGGTACAGAGAAGCAGTTCCCTATTGGATACGTTAGTGTTTGTTCGATGTATTGGAATTTTAGGTATGAAACAAACACACCAAAAGTACCGAAAATAAAAGTACACTGAAAATTTGTGAAACAGGGATCATACTCATACATGTCAATTCGACATGCTTCCGTGAGACACGAGCTTAACGTTTCAGCCCTTTAGCCGCAGCCAAATCATGTTCATTTTCACCGTGCATCAAAGCTGAAGCACTGGGGGGGGGGGGGGGGGGGGAGGGGCTATGTAAAAGCCGTCCACTGCAATTGTATGTATTGGGGAGGGGGCTGAGAAGGAAGAGTTCAATGATGCAGGAGGATTTACGAACCCCATTGTTAGCGATGTCAGGGTAAATTTCTGTTTTGAGAATCGGGCAAATATTGTAATACCATCCGATTCCTGAAGACAAGTAGAGTATACTGGCAAAGTTTGAAGTAAATCGGAGCAAATATAGTGGACTTATTCCAGTTTAGAGTGCGCGGGGTAAGCGCCGCCATTGTCGAAAAGCACCATGCCGCACTGTACACAAACCAGATCTCACCACGGCACAAAATCGGTCTTGACAACAGGGATCGCGGCTCATGAATAATCTTGCGCACTGTACAAAATGTACATACCGTAGCTGTACTGTTTTTTTGTTGTTGCTGCAAACTGTTGGAGAAATTCAAGAAGACTGTTGAAGAGTAGCCGAAGTATGAGTTGTGATTTGGCCATTCTCCAAGACAAGAAGAGTTCGACAAGTAGATTATGATCCTGGTGGTGGTCCGCTTTGAACTTCATCAGTTCTAACACCAATGCATTTGAAACGTTTCCGATCATGCTAGGCAGGGGCTTATCCTGCAATAGCTGCTCCTCCTTGAGTCCAAGACTCGACAAAACATCTTCACCGCCGGTCCTTTTGCTGGACGAACACTCATGATGGCGGTGTATCCAGCAATGGAGTACCTGTCGCGAAAAATACTACAAGTCTGGTGCGCGGCGTGATACGCCAGTGAAACTTGGCAGCAAACTAAATTGGACGACGGGGAACACGATGGAACTAAAATCAAACCTGTATCAGGCAGCGCAAGAGATGAAAAAGGCGACTGAACATACGCTAACTTGTCGGCGGCCATACTCCCAGCTCCGTAGGCGCAGCGCGCCCGCACAAACGCGGATACGAAAGTTCATCTTCTATTTTCGTGGCAATAGTCACGACCAAGCTTGTCACTGACGTCTTCAGGTCACATTTGAATATCCCGCGTGCCAAGTACTGCACGCTCTGGCCGCGACTGGCATTCTGCCGTACTGGCCTTTTGTGCCATCATTTCAGCTGGTTGCTAGGGAATCCAGCGACAAGCGTGGAGGTCACGTGGCACGGCACTCTGACATCGCTACCATTGTGGCTATAGAGTCTACGGCATGTACAGACCAGCCATCCAGTGCCGGGTACATTCGCCATACTAGTCCTGTTATACATTGGCGTGGGAAGGTGCGGCAAGCATTCACCAACTGCAAAGTCTGGGCCACCATAGCCACACAGATTTTCTTCAAGATAGCACTATCGGGTGCCGAAGTACGACTAGGTTAGAATCTCACTAAGCACAGCATACCAATGTAGACAGTCTGACACGGTGACCCAACTGCGCATAGACCGTAGTACATGGATATAAGAACGGTCTAGGCTGCGAGGCAGCTTGTTCTACTATTTTCCCTGTGTAGGCCAAACACGCCGTAAAGTCAATTCAATTTCCAGTCGTTCAGTCAGTCGGAAATTTACTTTGCCTGATCTTTGCCGCTGACCCTACGGTCAGGTGTAGTATGCAGTGTACTATAGGTATGTAGCTAACATAGCTGCTTGCTACCGCTCACCACTGCTAGCTCACCTCACTCAAATGCTCATATATAAAGGTTATCCGGCTACATCACCAGTTGAGATGCTTTGTACGGCGTGGTAAAACCGCAGAGCGGCGATGTGAAAGCTGATTTGCCACTCAAACGAATCCACCGACCCACGCCGTACGCTTAGCTCCCATGAAAGCGAATCCATCGACGCACGCTATTTACGTAGTGTGCCTATGAGCGATCCGCTGACTCACCACTATGACATCATCATTTGCATAACCTCTATTGAACTGGATACTCTCTAAATGTCGAGCACACCGCAAACCCCTGTAGATCTGACGGTGGCGCGGTGGACACTAAACATGTTCTGTCCCAGGTTACTGCCTCAGGTTGAAGGCTATCCACTCTCATTGTAAGTAGTGGCAGCCGCATACAGTACACGTAGTCATTGTACGTGTACAAACCGAACTGCAGGACCTTGTGGTGGTGTATTATGCAATATGCAGTAATGTTATGTGCCTGATTGCCAGTGACCAGGTGACTGACATGATGCATAACTGCATAAGTGCTGTATCCACGCACGCACCTACTGCTGTGCAGCCCAACACATTGCATACTGTGCCTGCTAATTATCAAGCTGTTACTTACCACTCAATACAAAAGAAGATTTGTCCGTTCTCCTCAGTCGCTCCAATGATTGACCTCAACGAAAGGCCTCTGTCAAAACCAGCTGGTGAGTCAGGTGCGCGCAACGCAGCTCCACCATCATCGGCTGCCGCCATGGCTTCTGCTTTGCTCTCCGCCTCTTGAGAAGCTATGGTTGTGTCCGGCTCTGAGTGCTGTGCCAAAGGCTGTTGTTCCGTCTTTACTGCACTTGTCTTCTTTTTGCTTTCAGCTTTTTTCTTCTCTCTACTTTTGGTCGCAAGCTGTGCCTCGTACTCCTCCAGTAATTCTTGACAGATTAGGTTTTCCTTGGGCTCCCATGTATTGTCCGAATCCGGAAAGCCATTCCATTTCAGCAGGTATTCAATTCGTCCGTTTTTGACACGTTTCCCTAAAATCTTCTCTACAGTATATTCTTCGGGCTCGTCTTCGTGCTTCCGCTTCTTTCCCTTTCTCTTGTCGCCCTTGGCCATATCCAATTAACAAATCTACACAACTCTGATAAGGATAATGTTGATATTCACACAGAAGCTGCTCTGTTTTCTCTCTGAGCCAAAAGAACAATTTACTGAAGCATTTAGAATATCCAAATAGATATTTAGACTTCGGGTCACGCTTTGTAAAGTCCTGTACAAACCTTTGAAGCTCTCATGCATGGACAACGATGTTGTGTTGATATCGCGCATATGCAGCTGCTACATGTAGACGTTGTCGTTGGTGATTTTCGGTCTTTCTGGGCCATGTGACAGCATTTTTCGGCGCCGTTTTTCGGCTTGAATATCAAGGTAGTTTCCATGACAGCGCGGGCATGACAACGACTACGATCGTGGAGTCACGAAGGCCGTGTCCCAAAAAATGCAACTCGATCAACCAAACAGAATAAAAAACACAAAGTCAAGATTCCAAGAAAAATGAGCAAAACTGAAAAGTGAAATACTCGAGAGCAAAATGATAGAGCAAGAGTTTGAATGTGAGTCGTGCCTGATCTAGACGTTTCATATGACCTCTCTCGGAATAAACGATCACCTATCCTTCATGATGCAGAATCGAGAAGGTAAAGATTGGCCTATTGTAGTAACGTGTCCAGCAGTCTCACTCAGCACTCCTGACATGATTTGGATGACCACTGGAAAAGGATTAGGATGACCACATTGTGGCAAGAGTTTCATGTTCTGATTGAAGCAGTGCCGCTTAAGTAGCATTTTTTCTGCGTTTCAGGTAAAACAGCGTGGGATAGCAGTGCCTGCCTCTATGTACCGCCAGCTGGTAAGTGAATTCATCAAAGCCTTGTCCTGTTAAAAATAGACGCTGCAGAAGTACTGTAGAAATATTGTCTTTGAAAGCTTGCGAACACACACACACGCGCGCGCGCGCACACCCGCACGCGCTCGCACACACACACGCGTGCGTGCGCGCGCACACACAACCACTACCACGAGCACCACCACAACCACCACCACCAACAACAACATGTGTTTTGTACGGCCGTCGCAAAGGAAACACGCAAATCTGCGAGTGCACAACCAGTACACCTGCTGATTTCTCTTATAGGAATGGTCGCGGGCAAGATCTGCATAAAACAGATCAAAACTTGTGACAGATAACTGCCTAGTCCACAAACTACAGTCAGACCTCGCATAACCGCACACATCCGTTTTCCACAAAAATATCCGGATAGGCGAGGGAACCGGATAATCGAACACACATACTGTATGTATGCATGGCATATGCTGTAAATCGGTAACCAACGATTTTCTTCCGGATGGTGAGGGATCCGGATGAAAGGGGACCGGATACGCAAGGTCTGACTGTAGTAACACAGCAGTTATGTCCTGAGACCTTCTGGTTGTTGGAAATTGTTTTCATGGATCCTTGTTGCTAATGAGAATTTCATCCTCCTGGTTGAGTGAAGGCTCATGCAGTTCTGTGTGCTGTTTTCTTCATCTTGTGGCCTACGCAGGTAGTTCAGTTCTTCCCACCAGAGCCCGTTGCCTAGCAATCAAGGTACGTACACCATGTACAGTACTTGTATTTGTATCATTGATATGAGAAGGGGCAAAACGTTACGCGTTTTGACTGACCGTCCACTATTGTAAGCGGATCATATACGGCCAGAGAGTGCGACAACAAGGCACAACACATGTATGATACTATACAGTCAGACCTCGCTTATCCGGTCCTCTTTTATCCGGATACCTCGCCATCCGGAAGAACATCGTTGGTTACCGATTTACAGCACAGCACAGGCCATGTATACATACAGTATGTGTGTTCGATTATCCGGTTCCCTGTCCGGATATTTTTGTGGAAAATAGATGTGTGCGGTTATGCGAGGTCTGACTGTGGTAACTTGTAAACAATGTCTGGCCGCTCGAAATATTGCACGGAACACATTGTAGAACATACTGGATTTCATTATTATGATGTGAGGGTTGGCAGAAGGCATCACGCTTGCGTTGAGTTGATACCGTGCCTTTTGCATGATTGCATGTGTGTGTGTGTATGTGTGTGTGTGCGCGCGCGCGCGTGTGTATGTGTGTGTGTGTGTGTTCTGCAGGCTTTACTTGAGCTGTGCAATCTGCCCTATCAATGTAAAGAGCTAGCCAATGCAGAGTTCATGTCACACTCCGGTGAGTGCAGCTACTGTCATGTATAACCACTGAAGGTGAAGATGAAGGGGGGGGGGGGGGGGGGGGACAACAATTTTCAAACTGATCTTCGCATTTTCGTTTGGCCTGTTATTTCAAAGTATGTGCACGCGTATTATGCCGGTTATATCGTCAGCTCTGACAATGACTTGTAATAAAAAGCTATTCCAGATTCTGTTCTCGGGTCTGATTGTTCTTTATTCAGGTCAGATTCCTGTTTTGGTTGAAGGCAAGACAACGTCATGTGGATTCGATGAGATCGTTGCACATTTTCACTTTCACGTAGGTTTGCTCCGATGGTGTGTTTAAATTCCTACTTCTTCTCGCATTTTAGTGGCAGCACACTTTGTTAGCTTTGCTGCCTCGAATATTAGTAGCTATTACATAGAGAGAGAAGATGTCGTAGTGTTGTTTGAGCAAGTGCAGTTGATTAGGCAGCACTGATCTTTTGTACATCACCACACGTGCTAACTGCTGCTTCACTCCTTGCGTCCCGTTATGTAGGAGCTGCTGCCTTCGTCCGACTTGCCAGCACCGGCAAAACTCGACATCAAGGCGTTTTCAGCGTTAGTGCATGGCAAGCTGTTTGCTGCAGAGGTGAGTACTGCTCGTATGGCTCTTCACACTTGTTAGCTGAATAGATGATTGCGTCACTGAAGTGACATTGTTGTGCAAATCAACATTTAATACTGCATGATGGTTCTGCTGTGTGTGTGCTTTGATGTTCTGCTTTGATACAATTTACTCATTTTTGTGGCACCCGCCGCCACTGACGCTGCTGCTGCTGCTGCTTCTTGTGCTTGTGCTTGTTGGCAGGTGTTCTCGGCGTGGTGTGTGCCAGGAAATGCAAAGGTCAGCTGCTGTACGTATGGCAATAGTCTGCCATTTCCTCTGAACTTTGTGCTGACTTGGCGTAAGAAGAAGCGAGCCCAGGACTTGTGCATCGCCGTGTTTTCATCGTGCCGTCCAGAGCAAGTAAGGCCGACGTGTACACATATACCAAGTTGTTTTCCCTACTTTGTTACTGAATCCGAGTTGCTCTAGCACATTACTTGACTGTGGAATGCACATGGTTGTTTGATGCATGTTCTGTAAAGTACCGATGATCCCTCTCCCCCTCCTTCCACTAGAATGCCTACACTCACATGCGGCTGTGCTGTGTACGGCAGTGCATGCTGTGCTTCAGCCTTGTATTTTGACGTACGATTAGGTCACTTCAGAGTTAGTACATCTACAGCCAGTAGGACAGTAGTATGTGTTGCGTGGCTGGTTATACATGATAAACAACCTCTCTACAACCTCTCTACATGTATAAGAATGTACATGTATCATTCAAGTCTTATCAACTTGTGCCGTGCATGTCGGTATGTGTGTGTGTGTGTGCGTGCGTGTGCGTGCGTGCGTGTGTGTGTATGTGTGTATTGCAGGTATATGGTGATGCTGCAGAGGTGTGCCGGACGCTGTCATTGCGCCTTGGTAGTGCTGAATTCTATGGGGATGTAAGGTAGGTCTCTATGCACACAGTGGAAGGCATTTACAATACTGTAATATGTACTACCAAGAGTACATAAACCAGAGTGTGCAACTGTGCATATCAGATCTGAAACAGCACAGTTCGTGCACTACGTCACCCTGATGAGATCAGCCAAGCCGCGACTTGCGTACAGCTCAAATTTTCATGTTTCATAGCCCGGAAATCAGCCAAGTTTGCTTGATTTTAGACGTCCTGTTTCAGGATTTCGGTGTTTTGTGTGACTGTGTACGCTGCGTACATCCACCGACAAGTAAAGTCACCAGGCTATCCGTCTCAAAAAACCGAAATCAGGACAAACTCAGTGAACTGCACCACCGCGACTGGTTACGCAACTTTTCACCGTACCTGTGGCTTACCATGCCGTCAGAAATGACGTAGTGCACGAATTACGCTCCCACAGGAACCATCCCGAGTTGCACACTCTGGTTTATGTACTCTTGGTACTACCTGCTCGTGATTTTCTAACATCCAGGAACACAGCGAATTGCCTTTGATGACTGACTTTCATCCAGTTTTTTTTAGATGCCAGCTGTGATCACAATTGTAGGATTCACGTGAATCCTACACTTTTGATCACAGCTGGCAAGTCTTGTTCCTCTCGCTAAACAATCTTACGTGGGTGTGCGTGCGTGCATGCGTGCGTGTGCGTGTTATGCGCTGCACGTTGTGCATTGTGTATTCCGTATCGCCACTGTAGACCAACCGAGCTGGACGCCCTGGTGTGCAGTCACCTGCAATGTATACTGGACATGGATGAGTCACTACCGGATCGTACTCTCGTCGACTGTGTCAAGAAGCATGGCAACCTGGTCGAGTACTGCGCGCGCATGGCGCAACGCTGTCTCATCGCCCAGGGACAAGACAATGGCAGTACTGCGCAGCACGAATCTCACTCCTAGTGTGTCATGTGCAGTTTGTTTGAGCCCCCCTTATAATCTGTGCTTTGGCTGTCATCAGACTTGGGGTAACACTCGCTGCAAACTATCCACGCAGGCCTGCTGTTTGTCTACCGTGTTCTATTGACCTCGTCTTCAGCTCGCCACGTCATTCATGAACAGTGAAAAGCTGCAGTTGAATCAGGGCCCGGTCAGGTTCTGACAACCTGCTGCTACCCGAGGCAGTACAGATTTCAGGATTTGCATTGCAAGTGACCTCGGAGGCAGCTGCTGCACTGTTAGTCTGTAGACTTCACAAGGAGGTCTTGCCCATCGTCTGTGGATGGCTGTGGCTGATCGTGGCAGCACACAAGCTCATGCCCGTCGCATCGTGTTGCATCTGCGGCTGTTGACTACTGTTCCGCTGCAGTTGCTACTTATCCAGCTGTCATGCGGTGGCAATTTCTTTTCATTGTCCACTGTGACGTTGGTGCCATGTTCCATCCAGGCTTCTTGTGCTGGCCTGAATGATGCTGACACAATCATATGACTGGCCTCTGGTATCCAGTTATCCGGTGCTGTCACATTCAGACTTTAAATGCTGTAGAATTACTTTAGGCTGAACCTTGATTTGGGTTTTTTCATGGACTAGCTCCTGCTCTGGACTACATAACATTGACTGTACCTGCTGCACACAATCGTCCCAGCGCTATCTGCCACTGACATTAATTTTGTCTTATTTCTGTCCATTCCATTCCTCATATCACATCCACCTTCTTCTTCTCCTACGGGTGTGTTGATCATGTCCGTGCACTCAGCTGCTAAGTTAGTGTGGTACATGTACTGTTGCATCGATGTGCTCCTGGCTGGAAAGCGCACAGCTGGCTTGGTCATGCACCAGGGGACATTCCTTCAGGGCAACGAACTCAATCAAGCCGCGTGCTCTGAGTCTCTCTCAATGCCGTTCATAAGAACACAGAGACTGACTGACGGGCTGGCTAGCCCTGCGTTGCCACGCCATGTCCAGTCCCTTATCTATTCCTCACAACAGCTAATGCCAGTCTTAACACGACAGTGGGCTCGACGGCCACAAGAATGTCAGAGGGTAATCGATCAGCAGAAATGACAACAAGAGATAATCAGAAATGGGGAGGCAAAGCAAGATGATAAATTAACTATAAAATGAATACCAGTTGCAAAGTACTTCAACGGGCCACTGATTCTGCAGACATGACAACTAGCATACAGACGTTGATCAAAGAAAAAGTGTAGGGACACATCTTCCAGGTGATAGTAGACTACTCTTCGCAATTTTCTAGCAGCTCTTACCAGCAAGAATATCATCATCAGATATGAGGTGAAGATGCAGTGAAAGCCAGAGCAAGCCAGCAATAGTGCGCGCATTGGACAACTGCTAGTCACTAAAATCCCTCAACTGATTCACTCAACAATAAGAATCGTATTGCCAGACGGTGGCGCTGAAATTGTCAATTTATTGTCAGCAAGCAACTACTACGTTACGAGAGCTAGGTAAGAATGTTGCCGGACATTAGCAGCAGGTTACCAACAGACCTGCTCACTGGATAATAAATAAGAGTCATGATGTGAGTATTATCGTGATTAAACAGCATAATGCCAGCAAGTCCTGCGACAAAACAAAACAAAAAATAGAAGTTTAGACGGCTTCATAAATTTAAAACAAGACTATATAAAAATGAAAAAGTGAAGACAAGAGAGAAAGACATCAGGGGGGATGAAGATAATCAGCTTGCACACATGAACCAGTCAGTGTACAAGAACCTGCCTGTCCAGCAAATTACAGGCGTGCACTAAGAGGGTGGTTGAATTCAAATCCGTGCTCCACGTCTCCATGGAAATACTGCAGGACACACAGACAGACACACAAAATTTTATTGAGTATTACGCTCCCTCGCCTCGGCTTGGTTGAGCACTCTTTTCCCAAGTTAGCGTTAAAGTTGTCTGCCCTTGTGCAAAGCCCCTAAAGCTCGCCGTGTTTATCGTAGTTAGAGCACTCTGACTCTAGAGCTTTCAGCCGGTTTAAAAAAAGCTTTGTTGTTCATTAGACTTCATTGGGATTGGTTCGGCCAGTAGCTCTGAGCTCCGCTAAGGTGACTTATCAAGGTCGAAACAGCATGCTCTCTGGAGATTGAGTTATTATAATGGAAATGACGACAATGACAACAATGCCATAGCATGGGGATAAGAAAGCAGTTTCAAAATCCGATAGGTACCGATGACAACCAACACACACAACGTTACCAAAGCGAAATGCACCATCAAAAAATGTTGAAAAACAAACGCAGACACACACAGCTAGGAGTACAACCAACCTTATGCTTCCATACAGCACCGGTCTCCTTCCGTGTACGTGCTTCTTCTCGCTGTTTTTCCTCAAGCTGCATATCAAATCAACAAACAAACAGAAACCCGATCTAATACAGGCATTGAGGCTATGAGAGGAATACAATCCCCGGGAAAAAGTCAATTGGTTTCCCAATATAGTGTACTCCAAACACACCCAAATTTTAGCGACACAGAAATCTTAGCAAATTTATCAGCCGGGTCAAATTCTCCGAAGTTAGGACTCCTGAATCAGTATATTAATGCTAAATATATCCGTCACTAAACTTTTAACACAGTAGATCAAGGATAATGACCTATATCTTACCTTAACCTTGGCTTCTGTTGCAACGGTAATATTGTGCGGTAAATTGGCAGTGACTTCCTTCCAGAGCCTACACGCGCGCGCGCGTGCACACACACACACGGACACACACACACACACACACACACACACACACATGTTGCCATGCACAACAGCTAGCACTAGTAGCAGTGGGTTCAGGTGGATCAAATGTGAATACTGTGTTGCAGAAATCAGGGAAGGTACCGTAGAATCCCGCGGATAAGCCCACGGGCTTATCTGTTTCACAAGGACATTTCGGCGGGCTTATACAAGGACATTGGCTTATACGCGGGCATGGGCGTTTACGCCGACACCAAAATTGTGCTATAGAAAAGTACCAAGGAAGTGAGAAGTACAATGTACATTGCTGAAAACCACTGTGCAAACAAAAACAACCAATGATTGTCTTGAAATGTACAAAAAACCCTACATGTACTACATGCATGGTACGACCTAGGCCCATGGGCTTGTACAACGAAGCTTCGCGATGTTCGAACTTGGCCTGCGCTTATGCGTGAGCATGGGCTTATCCGCGGGATTCTACGGTATCTGCTTACCGTCTTGATTCTGTCGGTGCTTGACTTTCCAATTCTCGCACAAGCTTGGGAACTGTTGTCATAGTCGTTGTGTCGACAAACACACTTGTCTAACAAGTCATCAGAAAACAGAAAGAAAGAACGCCGTTTAATACCCCCAAAATGAGCAATGCCAGGGGGGGGGGGGGTAAAGCAACGGAGATATGTTGTGTGTGTGTGCATGTGCATGTGTATGTGCATGTGTGTGTGTGCATGTGTGTGCGTGTGTGTGTGTATGCGTTCCTGTATGGCTCAATCTTATCTGGAGCACAGACAAACCTGCTTGATGACATCGCCACCGATACGATTTTGTATCCAAGAATGCAAAAAGTCAGCTCACCTGATTTCCGACCTTGGCATTAACTACACCATTCCACAAGCCGTCTAGTGACATAAAGGGCTTCTTTTCATTCGCATCCCTGCACAAAACAGGTACACAGAATGGGCGGCACATAAGAACAATATACATCGAACCACCAGGCCAGTGACCCTGAGCTCCGCTAAGGAGACCTAACAAGGTAGAAACAGCTAGCTGTCCGGAGATTGAGTAAATCAAAAGACTAAAATAACGACCAGTGCGAACACAAGGCAATTGTACAGCAAGACCACCTGTATTACCCCAAATTGCAAGGCGAGCCCAACAAGAAAAT